AAGTCTCAGGAATATCAGTGTCTAGGTTTTTTGTAGGACTTGACTTTTAAAGAGTGATCATCAGTTCCTGTCCTCTTTTCCCCCCGCCCCTCCTGAACAAGAAAGTCATAAAGCCACTCAGTGGAACAGAGCAAGGCAGTCAGCAGCAATGGTTTTAGGGGGTGTGCCCTAATGAACTAGCAAAGGGACCCCAAGTGGAAGGAGGAGTCATTCAGTCATGGGGATGGTGCTGGGAGGCTGGCACAGTGTGTCAGGGCGTGCACCTGAGAGGCGGCTGGCAGGGCATTCGAGCTCTGCTGGTGTCAGAAGGGCACGTACACGGGAGGTGGGTAGGGCAACAGTGGGAAAGCATTACCACGGGGAGTTGACCTAATTAGTATGTTAAGAATTGTGAGGACCAAGTGTCTCTCTGTTGGAGAAGGGAGTTACACTATAGAAAAGAAGAAAACTAGAATGAACCCTGAAGTGTCTGATTGGAATTGAAGATATTGGGTGTATCATGATTTGGGGTATATATAGGAAGATACAGAAATATGGTTGTGTGTGTACACATATATTCCCTGGCTCTGTTTATTGAAAGGGCCTGGGGGCACCTGGGTGGCTCGACAGTTAAGCATCTGGCTCAGGTCATGATCTCCCTGTTTGTAGGTTCAAGCCCTACCCACGTCGGTCTCTATGCTGACAGTGTGGAGCCTGCTTGGTTTTCTCTCTCTCCCTATCTCTGCCCCTTCCCAACTCGTGACTCCTTTGTGCTCCTCTCACAGTAAATAAATAAACATATAAAAAGAAGAAAGGAAAGAAAGACAGGGTCTGAAAGCAGCCATAGCCTGTAGCAATGGGAATACCTGGTGTCCAGAGCTTGACTTATGATACCATTCTCCACCAAGGAGCACAACTAGGGCTCCTTGGAGGAAAAAGCCGATTGCAGGGCCAGGGCAGGAAAAGTACAAGATGAGCCTCTTGTACCCAAAAGCAAGGAAGTGCTCAAAGAATTAAATGGTTTGGTCAAAAGGACACAGAAGCCAGTTTGAAGGGACTCCTAGTGGTCAGATCTGGAGCAAATCGAACATCTAAATAAATAAAACAGTAATATTGAGTAAAATAGGAAAATAGGAAACCATGAGTCTGTGTTAATGTAAATAATAAATGAATAGATTGAACATTTGAGGATATTTACAGTATCAAAGTCCTTTCCCACAAAATAATGCTTATTATTCATAAAGGGAGGAAGAGTGGCTTTAGAGTGGAGAAACCTGACAGGTACCACTTTTTTTTTTTTTTTTAATTTTTTTTTTTTTTAAACGTTTATTTATTTTTTTGGGACAGAGAGAGACAGAGCATGAACGGGGGAGGGGCAGAGAGAGAGGGAGACACAGAATCGGAAACAGGCTCCAGGCTCCGAGCCACCAGCCCAGAGCCCGACGCGGGGCTCGAACTCACGGACCGCGAGATCGTGACCTGGCTGAAGTCGGACGCTTAACCGACTGCACCACCCAGGCGCCCCTGACAGATACCGCTTTAATCCCTAACTTGAACTTGATGAGTGAGGGGGTCAGTCAGAATTAGCACACAATAGGCTGTAGCAAAAGAACACAGCCTAGCCCTGTTACATTCCTGCTGTGAGGAAACATCAGACAGACCCACATCGGGACCATTCCACAAACTACAGGGCCTGACCTCTTAACACCATGAGGAGCTGTGGTGGCAGCTGGGCCTTTGTGGTGAAAAGGACACTTAGGAATTAGCTGGCAGAACTTAAATGGGGTCTGAGGATTAGGTATTAACTTTTCAGTGTTAGTGTCCTGATATGATCGCAGTAGGGATGTCTTTGTAGGAAATGCTAATGTCTTGCCGGGTGTTGGGGTGTCAGAGATGAGTTATTATTTATGGTTCAGAAATAGATGTTTTGCCATATTTGCAACTTTTCTATAAGGTGGAGATTTTCAGAGGAGAAAAACTACGAAGGAGCCACTTTTAGAAATTTGGCTCCTGGCCAAGATGACAATTAAGAAGTGTATGTCTGACTCCTTATTACAGCTTTTAGGGTTCTTCTCAGTGATAATCACAGAGGCGTGTGTGTGTGTGTGTGTAAGTCCTTTATAAAGGTGCTATTGAAGCTGTTCGTGAAGAATGTAAAGGAAGGTGTGATGCCAAAAGTCTCAAATTGCCCTTTCTCCAAATTTGGTACTAGAAATAACCTTCATTAAAAATCTTACTTAACTTTTCAGAAATTTTCTGTGCACGTACATGACTTTGATTTTATGTATTTGTGTATATTTCCTACACTGTGCACATTGAATTATCCTATACAGACTTTTCTGCCACTTAATCTTTTCATTAAATATACATACATGTACACATTGGTACATGTAAAAAGACTGCTGCTTTTTTATTTGCTACATAATCTATTTTTAGTTGTATCATAACTAATCATTATGTTTTATGGCCATTTGGAGTCTGAATATTTTTAAACTGCTACAACCAGTATTACAGGGAATGTCCACATATGTTTCTTAACACATTTGATACATTTATCTGTAAGAGAAATTTCTAGAATTGAAGTTGGTCATAAGTTATACATTTTTTAATAAGTGATGTTTCTAAATTCTAAGGAGGTAGCAACGCTCTACATCCCAGAAGCCTTCCTTATGTTTGTATCTCTGCAACCACACAGCAGACATATACTCTCAATCTCTCATTTTTGCTAGTCTCAGAGAGGAAGACTTTCTCATTTTAGTCTGTAGTTGAGTCTGTATTTAGTCTGTATGTGCACTTTCTTGTGAATAGTTTTTTCAGTCCTCCCCACTTTTTATTGGTCTGATTTGTAAGAGTTATTTGTTAAAGGACCCGTTTGTTGCTACTTCTTGGCCGTGTAGACAGTTTAATTTTTTTTAGATAGTCAGATTTATCAATCTTTTCTCTAATGGTTTCAGAGTTTTATATCCTGCTTGGAAAGATTTTCCTCTTCAAAAATTTTATTTTTAAAAATGGCTTATTGTCTAATATTTCCCTTAAAAATGTTTTGATTTCTGTGGCTAGCTTGTAGTCTCATCAGCATTATTGATAGGCTGTCAGGGCACCTCATTCTCAGTTTGTGAATTTGTGAATTTTAGATTAGGATGATTATCATTCATGTGATTTAAGAAAGGTAGCGATGATAAAGGAAGGGGGAATTGTAAGTGAGAAATAGGAAATGAGTTTATAAGAGAAGTAGAGATTGGGTTGGCACAGGACACTGCATAAATACCATTCCAGATACACTGTATGTTAGGAAAATGAAAATATGCCACTGAAATGTACATTGGGATTGGGTAATTTCTGTCGTGTCCGCATATAATCTTGTTTTTCTAATTTAATATGTTAGCTTCTAGCCAGTTAGATTTGGAAACAAACATAGGTGTAATTGCTGTCTTGTGGTTATACGTTGCTGAACCTTGACTTTAGTCTGTATTCTGACTTCAAGCCTGTGCCTTTCTCTCCGGCTTGGCTTAAATGTACAGCACCGTGTTCCCACAGCAGACATGCGGTTGATTTTTGGACTGGTAGTCGGTGTCCAAGCTGTCTCTCGGGACTCAAGTCTTGAATTAAAGGTGTGTCTGTCTGTCTTTGGACCATTTGGTTTGTGAAAGTAAATGGGTCATAGGTTCTACCACTGCCCTCAGGTCTCGGTCCCCAGTCTCAAGTAATGTGTGCAGACTTGGGGATTTAGATCAGCTCCTCACTTCGTTTGTCTTCCATCTCGTCGTTTCTTGTTTGTCTTCCTATTGAATATTTATTTCCACATCTGCATACCAAGAAGCAGTTTTGCCTAATGTACAAGGTGACTTTGGTCTGTAAGGGTCATCTCTTGATAAGGTATTTAATGACCTGACAGTTAATCTGAATGACAGGTCAGGAACCTTGGGGATAAATTTAAGAATTTTAAATGAGTATTTAAAGTGTTCAAAAGTAATGGAAGTGGATTTGTATGTTGAGTAGGGTGACGGCTTTGTGTACTGCGTGAGTGTCATAACCTTGATGAACTAGTAGTATTCCCTATGAGGAAAATGACGCTCGAAGGCTAAGTAACTTATTTAGAGTAGATCAGCTTTTATGTGGTGGAGCTGGTATCCAGATCCTTGAGGAAACTTTCCATTAGTTTCTGTGATGTAACTATATCCCTTATTGCAAGGTCCGTTTTGTAGAGAAGACTTGAGTTTGAATCTTTTAATTACACTAGTAAAAGGTGAGGAAAGCTGATTTTCAAAGATAACAGCTTAGAATCATGGGAAGGATACACAGCGGAGTGAATCATCAGCTAGTCAGGCCTTGGGATGTAGTAATACTTGTCTGACCAGACACTGCATTCCATAGTTTCCAGGACTCCTAGCACCCCAGCTCTTAGGTTTAGAGTGTGGGAAGTCTCCTCCATGTACAGCCATGTGATGAAAAGGAACACGTGTGAAGAAGAGTAAAGGAATTGCAGTTCTTATCTGGCAGAAAGATAGCTATTGGGCCACTTGGACAAAAGGCTGAAATAACTTTTTTTTTTTATTGCCAGAAGTGAAACCATGCCACTAGATTATAGAAAATTAAAAATAAGCCCATTTACCAGATTTTTGCAAATAAGTTTAACTTTTATTCACTTCTTCCTATGGGAAATACATTAGAAAATAATATTCTTTTCCTCAGAAAAAAGTATTTTTTTGTTTGTTTGTTTATTTTGAGAGAGCGCATGCACACATGCAAGCAAGGGAGGGGCAGAGAGGGGGAGAGAGAATCCCAAGCAGGCCCTGCGCCGTCAGCTTAGAGCGCTTGGGGCTCAAACTCACGAACCGTGAGATCATAACCTGAGCCAAAACCAAGAGTCGGACGCTTAACCGAGTGAGCTACCCAAGCGCCCCCAGTATATTTATAATACTGAATTAAACTGCCACATAAATTTGCCTTACAGTCTTAACTGAGACTCTTGTGGGTTTATATTACGTGAAATTAACACCTCTCTTTTCTTTTATGTGCAGGCAGCTATTTTCAACTTCATCCCAAGCTTTTCTACAGAGTCAGAAAGTGCACAGCTTCTTTCAGTCCATATCACCAGACCCTCTGCACAGCCTCAGTAAGCGTCTTCTCCTCTCTAGAAATCGGATGTGTTCTTGCTTAGCGTTCCTGTTTCACTGTGCTGCCTTGTATGGGGCTGGCAGTTGAGGAATAGCGGCCTACGATTAAGAAACGTGTAGTTTTCAGTGAAATTGACACTGCAGGTTTACAGAAAATAGTGTGTCAAAGCTAAAGTCACAAAACAGACTGATTGCAAGGGAAAGGCCAGCTGTCTCCATCTCGTGGACATACTGGGTCCTCCAGGGCCTTGTCACCTGGTGTACAGGCTTCGGAGGTGCTGCCCTGCCGGGCACGGGGGGTGTCACCTCTTAGAATCTGCCTTTCCTCCCGGGTCCCGTGTCCCCGTGTTCCCGTAGTGACCTCCGCAGCCTCCCTGGCTGGAAACCGGGCGTTACTCTTTCCACTTTTGCTCTTCACATTCAGTCATTTACAGGCCAAGCCATGCCGGACAGGGGGTGCCTTCCTTTCTGCCCCTCCTTACCAGTCCGTTGTGGGCTGTTAAGCCTTTCTTCCATGCACACCTTGCACAAAGCCTCCTCACTCATGTCTCCGGTTCTGGTTTCTCACTTGACTTTAACCTACGCCAGGATTACCTCAGGGATCAGTTGGTTAATGCCCTCTTCAAAACCTTAAAAGTTTGATTTGAAATTCAAGCCCTGCCGTGAGCCTCCTTGTGCCTCATTGCTAGTCTCTCAGGCTCTGGCTGCTTGAAGGCTTGGCATCTACTCAGTATACCTGCCATTTCCTGTCCCAGTGTCTTGGCTCATTCTGCACCTGAACTTTTAAATGTCCTTCCTTTTGGCACAGCCTGTTAAAATCACACCTGTTTTAAGACCCAACTGAAATATTACCTCCTGAAGATTTCCCCCATTTTTTTCCTTCTGTTCCTGTAAGTTGCTTTTGCCCTCATGTTTCATCCTTCCTCACAGTCAGCCTTATGTGTGCTTCTATGCACATCTATCTCAGCTGCCTTTTTAAACAAATATTTTGCCAGGAACATTGATGTGGGCTTTAGGAGAATGTGCTAACTTAAAGCACAGCCATTATGGCAAGTGGCTGTTTATTTTTTTAACCTTTCCTTCTGCTATCAACAAAGTCCTATTTTCTTGTACCTAAAGAAGAAAGAAAATGTATATTTGCTCGTTTTGAGGTGGAAGAAAGAGAATTTAGAAAAAGTAATATGATTGGATATGATAACGGGTTAACTTTTAAAGTTTCTCTCTCTCTCGTGTGTATGTGTGTGTGTGGGGGGGGTGAGGGTGGGAGATTCTTGATGACTAGTTGATGAGACGAGATGAGTGACTCCACGGTTAAATTTCTGTCTGAACAGTGACAGTAGCTGCTTGTTTTTTAAAGAGAATCCTAATCACCCTGGAGCTGTATAGATCTCACAGTCAGTGCTTTCTTCTGCTTGAACCGAGTGGAAGTACTTTTTAAGGAATATCTATAAATAGCGTTTGTTTAACACATGCCGAAAACACAAAGTTAAACTTTTAATTCCGATTTTAACAGGCGACCCAGGAAAACTGGCCCAAGTGAGTAGCGCATATATAAATAAGAGAAGACTCATCACGAGAGCTTTACAGTATTTAAATTAAATTACGTGCATGGTGCTAAAGGGAGTAGTACGTTGGAAGACCTCGAATTGTTGCAGAATTAAAATGTATGAAAGGACATGTTTTGGGAGTGTGGAAAGTGTGGTCAGGATGTCCACATTGTTTCACCAGGGAACACACTGTTGTCAAAGTTCATTTGCACTGTTTTGAAAAAAATGACAGCTCTACCTTTTGTCCCCAGGGATAGGCAGTAGTACTTAGTCTGTGTCCTGACACTTGAGAAAACAAATGTTAACTCCTAGATGACTTCAGCATATCGCGGTCTGGAACCCCACCAGTCTGCACCTTACCTGAGGACTAGTCCGGGGCTTTCAGAATGTGCCTCGTGGGCCACTGCTCTGTAATAGAATAGAAACTCACGGTGGACACTTGAGAGGCTTTGTAGCAGTTGGACATTGCCACACCTGCTTATATTTTATGAAAGGAATGCTTCACAACACATTAGAAATTTGAAAAGCCTTCCCACACCACCGATGTCTGAGAAGCACTAATCTAGTGCATCCCCTCCTATTGCACGTGAGCCCCTGGGGCTGGCGGAGGTGAAGCCCCTTGCTCCAGACCTGTGGTTCTCATGGGGAGAGCAGGCTCCCTGAGTCAGGGTCCCCACTCCCAGTCCAGGGTTCTATGCTGTGTCACCTTGGTGTTGTAAAGGTCCTAACTAGTAGAAATGTTCTCTTTACCACTGACTCACCACTCTCCTCTTCTTGGGACAGAAGGAATCATTCTGTGTGTTTTCTTTATTACCTTTTTCCTAAAAAGTTAATTGGTATTGAATACTTCCTGCAGATAACTTACAGTCCTCTCTGAAGACTTCTAAAATATTAGAACACTTAAAGGAAGACAGCTCAGAAGCTTCAAGTCAAGAAGAAGGTAAGTGTGGATTCACTGGAATAAGTCATTTTGCCTGATATAGGCACAAGGATAGGCAGACCATTAGAACAGATTAAGGAGCCAAGAAACAGACATATGGAAACTTGGAATGTGACAGGTGGCATTATAAATAAGTGAGGAAAAAATAGACTATTCAATAAATGATGTTGGCTGGCTTTCCAGTTGAAAAAATATTATATAATTAGATCCCTACTTACATCATGCACAAAAATTTCAAGTAAGTAACAAAAGATAAGTACATATAAACTTAATGTAGTATATAAAATGTAAAACTGAACTTTTAAATGTTGATAACCTGGGACAAGAAGGCTTTCTTGACAAAGCAGAACGTGACCGTGGTGGAGATCTTTTTTCTAAAACAAAACTGAACTTGTAACCAAAAAACAGGCAGTTAGAAGATATTTACAGGCTATTCACAGTTGAAGAAAGACTATACCCAGACAATAGAAATATTCGTCCAAAAACTCAGAGCATCAGTCTAATTGACAGTAAGGACAAAAGATAAAGATAGTTAATTCATGGAAGAGGAAATGTGAATGGCAATTAAGCAGTGTTTAGCCTCACGAGTAGTCTGAAAAATGCACACTGTAAAAACAACGAGATATCATTTCACGCTCCCCGAATTGGTAAAACATTTTCAAGTCTGACATTACCAGGGGTACGAAGTAATGGGAGCTCTGATCCGCTGCGGATGGGAACATAAATTGGTACAACTCATTTGGACAGAAATTTGACACTGTGTAGTGAGGTTGGAAGTAATTAATTTCATGCCACCGCCCAGCACTTCTGCTGCTATGAAAATTGTTGTCCGTGTGTTCAGGGGATGGAGACTGAAGTCCTCACAGCAGCCTTGTGTGTAATAGCAAATACCTGGGTATCACCCGGGTGCGGTAAATCTTAATAAAAACACTCAGTAGAATACTTCAGCTAGTTTATCTCTGTAGAGGGAGGAAGTCAAGTGGAATGGAGAAAGGCCTTCAGATGTTTCTGTGATATATTTTGTTTCTTAATGAAAAGAGGCAAATATAGTTGACCCTTGAACAACAGAGCGGTAAGGGGCGCTGCCCCCCTTGCGGTCGAAAATCCATGTATAACTTCTGACTCCCCCAAAACGTAACTATTACTAGCCTGCTGTTTGATCAGAAGCCTTACCAAAAATGTAAACAGTTAACACATAGTTTGTATTTTAGATGTATTATGATACTGTATTCTTATAATAAAGTAAGCGAGACAAAAGAAAATGTTAAGAAAATCGTTTACATTACAGTAGGACTGTAGCGTGTTTTTGAAAAGTTGCCCCTTTAAAGAGTTTTCTGTGAAAAGTGCTTAGAAGCGTTCTGCATGGTCTGGTGATCCTGTCACCGTCACATAAATTAGTTGCGTCATCCTCTTGGATTTTTGGCAGCAGCATCTGGTATAATAATCGTTTCTTCCTCTACCGTAGATGTGTTACAGCACACCATAATCCACAAGAAACACACCGGCAAGAGTCCCCTTGTGAAGTACGTATCTAATTCCTAAAACAATGTCTTTGTATGTTTGTAATTCACTGTGTCACATTTACTTTAATCACTGAGACGTTTGCCTAGAAGTCTGCTGTTTTACTGTTTGCTTGTTACTTGTCCAGCCTTTTCTGTGTCATCTTCCTTTTCTTTCCTTTCTTGCTGTAAGGTGGTTTTATTCTGTTTCTCCGTTCTGTTAACTTTGAGAGTTAGGTAATGTTTTCGATTCTTCTAGTGGTAACGAGGGGTCATGAGATTGTATTCTACATCTTGGACTCTCTAAGGTCTGGTACTAATGGCGCTTGCAGCACTTCCCCTGTGAGGACCTTTATTCGCTGTTATTTCACTTACCCCTCCCACCTTACAAATTGTGGTTGTCCTGTACGTTATTCTCCCTGTAGTTTAGACCTTGTGAAACCTACCTTCACCTGTCACTTGGATTCTGCCGTTCCACTGCCTTCATTCTTTCCCATGTGTCTTAGCGTCCGTCCATGATTGTTTCCTTCCTGCTGAAGGACTGCAGTAGTTCCTGTAGCTCTGTCTGCCATTGATGCATTTACTTTGTTTTTACCTGGGGGGAAAAAAATGTTTATTTTGCCTGCACTTTTCCTGGATGTAGGATTCTAGGTTGTCAGTGACTTTCTGCAAGTGCTTTGAAAGTCAAGTTTTTACTGTCTTCCTGTTTAATGCCTTTGGTCCCTCGCATGATAGCCTCAGCCCAGCTCTAGGACCCTCTTCAAGTTTCCGCTGTCCCACCCAAGCTGTAAGACTTTCCACCTTCTGCCTCAGGGCCCTGGCTGATTCTGGGGACCTGGTTGGCACTCAGACCAGCATAGTCCAGAAATGCAAGTTAATTTGCCCAGGGGGTCAGCACTCAACTGATGGGGGGGCTCCAGCTTCCTGTCCTTTGGATAGATAATTCTGGGAGGTCCCAGCTTGTTTGAGCCTCTGTTGTTATGTTGGCAATCTCAGTAATGGACCCTTACAAGTTGGTTTTTCCTCTTTTCCTCTTTCATTCTGCACACTTTTTGTTTTGCTTCCTGAGCTCGCCTCCCCTATCAACCATGCCACCCCAGATTCTCCTTTCTGGGGAGAACTAACAAAGACAGCTGGCATTCATTGTTTCAGCCTTGGTGCTCTTTGGAAGTGGATGTGCTTTTCACAGCCTGATTGCTTTTTAAGATTTTCTCATCTGGTTTTGAGCACTTTTCTAAGATACTGTTTATGGCTGTCTTTGAATGAATTTCACTTCTTAAGCCTAAAGCCTGATACCTTTTGATTTTAGAGAAGACCAGGCCACTACCTTTGCAGATACTGCTTCCACCTGATTCTCTTGTTTTCTCTTCTGAGACTTGGGGTACTTCGTGTGTTAGACTTTCCACCAGGCCCTGTGTGTCTCCTAAGCTTTTCTGTGTTCTCTGTATTTTCTTCTTCTCCAGCTTCAGTCTAGTTTCTTCTGGCCAAAGTTCCTCCTTACTGACTTTGTGTGTCTGCTTCTATCCATTGAGTTCTTTAATTTTTTTTTTTAATGTTTATTCCTTTTTGAGAGACAGAGCGTAAGCAGGGGAGGGTCAGAGAGAGAGGGAGACACAGAATCGGAAGCAGGCTCCAGGCTCTGAGCTGTCAGCACAGAGCCTGATGCGGGGCTCGAACTCAAGAACCGTGAAATCATGACCTGAGCTGAAGTCGGATGCTCAACCGACTGAGCCACCCAGGCACCCCACTATCCGTTGAGTTCTTTTTTTTTTTATTTTTCATTTTTGGGACAGAGAGAGACAGAGCATGAATGGGGGAGGGGCAGAGAGAGAGGGAGACACAGAATCGGAAACAGGCTCCAGGCTCTGAGCCATCAGCCCAGAGCCTGACGCGGGGCTCGAACTCAGGGACCGCGAGATCGTGACCTGGCTGAAGTCGGACGCTTAACCGACTGCGCCACCCAGGCGCCCCTCCGTTGAGTTCTTAATTTCAGTTTCTTTTACAGTTCCAGAATTTAAGTGTGGTTCTTGTTTGTATTTCTCGGGACATTCCCCAAATTTCCCATCTTCTTGTAGTCACTGACCTATTAAACACTGTTATTTTAAAGGCCATGTCCAGTAACTTCTGTCTCTGGATTCTCTTGGAGTCTGTTTCTGATGTCTGTTTCTTCTGCTTTTCAGTCACATTGCCCTGTCCTTTGACATGCCTTAGATATACAGAGTACTTAGCTATCCTCTCAAGATTGGGGTTACACTCCAGCTGTGAGTGGCACAGGATGACCATATATAGTGTCTGAAGACAACTTGCACTTGTTACTAATTTCCTTAGAGACAGGTGTTATTTATTAGATAAGATAGCTGTGTGATAATTTATTCTCATAGCATCCTTTTTTTTCTTAGAGATATCACTAGGCATTCTTTTAAAAAACATACACACACACACACACACTGAACAAAGGGTTACTATTAGCTTCTTCGTTATATGAGACAGTATAGGTTTGAGTACTGAGGACAGATTTTCACACCTTACAAACTTCTTCTGATAGCACCATTGGTACAAGTTGTTCTCCGTTGGATGGGCTCACCGTGCAATATTCTGAACAGAACGGAATTGTGGATTGGAGAAAGCAGAGCTGCCCCGCCGTTCAGCACCCGGAGCACTGTGTGGCCTTAGCTGACCAGGTATTGGAGGGTTTTGTTCTTGTCTCCATGCATTGCTGCTCTACAAGAGTTGAGTTCTCTTAAGTATTATTATGTCAGATAGTATAGCTGTTAGACTTTCAACTTAATTGGAATATATGGTCTAAACTCCTCTGACACCTGAAAAAATATCTTGAGATTGCCTTTATTGCTCAGAAAAGGAGTACATTTTAATGCTAATCTTATAATGTTTATTCTAACTAGGGATACATCAAATGGTTCTGCCAGATTTTTTGCTTTTGGAAGAATTATTCACATTTCAGTCACTGTCTTGCTGTTGGTGTTGTGAATTTTGAGCCTGACCGTCCCTCATGAGAAGTTGGATGTAATGTAATGTAATTAGGAAATTACATTGTAATTTAGGAATGTAATTAGGAAGTATTTGCTTTCTCCAGAGTTGGTGTAATCAGAGCGCAGAATGCTTGCAAGCACCATAGATGCAGGGGAAGGCTTACTGGTGAGGCTATGGAGAGAGCCACCTTCTTTTCAGAAAATATATTTGTTAACTGATGTTTATTTCTGGTCAGCACTCAGCTCCAAATGTCAACCTTTAGTGGAATGTGGTTTTACAAACGAAATGTTCTGAGAAGTTGTATGTTACCTTAGTCATACTTAATGGCCTGTTTTCAGAGTCCATTCAATTATACCTTTACTCTCTCTACTTCAGCGCCTACACCTTTTCTTCTTAAAGTTGATAAAACTGTGTTGTACTTCAGAAGAACACTGTTGAACGTGTAAGCAAATGCCAGTGATTTGTATGTTTTGTTTTGTGCTCAGAAGAAAGAATACGGGGCCATTTTAAAAGCAAAATTCAAAAATAGGTATTTTTCTTAGATTAATATTGAGTATCAGAGAATGTGCAAATTTTAGTGGTTCAGGTAGGTATCTTCAAGAAATAGGTTAGAAATCAGAATTTGTTCACAATATATAACTGGGAGTGTGTCATTTTACTGTTTGATAGGAGAATAGAAGGATATCTACATGAGTGTGGGTTAGTTTTAGTCTGATTTCTTTTTATTCTTTCCATTAGCATTCAACTGAAAAACGAAGCTTATCTTCAATAAATAAGAAGAAAGGAAAGCCACAAATAGAAAAGTAGGTTCAATTTAATGTTTCCAGTAATAGGAATTGGTAAGAAAGGCAACATGTAGGCTTTGACTATGGGCATGTTTTGTTTATGTAGAATAAATAGTATTTTCATTACATTTTTATTTCTAGGCCTAATTTTTTTAATTCAAAATAGTCAGCAAATGCAGATGATCAAAATAAAGCTATTGTCAAAATATATTCAGTTTGGAGGGACAAAACTCTCCGAACCGTACACTAAAGGGCGAATCTTGCATTTAGATTATACCTTACTAAAAATTGTTTTACTATAAAAAAACAGAATTTTAGTAATACTATTTATTGTGTTCTCTAGAGAGCCTTATAAAAAAATGTCAGTAACCTGTATATTTTGGGTTTAGGGAGAAAATTAAGAAAACTGACAACAGATTGAATAGTAGAATAAATGGTATCAGACTCTCAACTTCCCAGCATGCCCATGGTGGTTCTGTGAAAGGTAAGAAAGATGGTTTTTCTTTCAAATACCCGTCACCTACATGTATTTGGCATGATACCTGTTTTAGTAGCTGTCGAGCTGTGGTGTCAGATCCTGAAATTATACTGTTAACGTTGCGCGGACGGGAATAGCAGGTTCTGAATTAAACCATTCTGAAGTATTAATGGAACTGATTTAGGAAGTCGGAAGCAGCCGTAGAGGTGAACCTTTCCTTCGCCACAGCTGTGCTTCCCCACCGATTCCTTCCTCTGTAGGCCACGGGCTCCTCACTTGTCCACTTCTCGAGCCTGTCCCTGCTCCAGAGCACAGGTCCGAGCACCTGGGGGGTCCTTTCAGCCCTCGTGGAAGCCTGTCCCTGTCCTTGTGTAAAGTCATTTTTAGAATCTTGTTGACGTTTTCGTGTTTTAATGACTGTCCTTTGTGGGCTTTTACGGAGTTCTAGGGGAATGCAGACACTCAGATTTTTATTGTACTACATTTGTATAGTTTCCATTTACCTGCTTTTAAGTTTTCTTTATTTTCGGGTTTTGTATTTATTTGAGAAGTGTCCTTTTTGCTGGTTCATTAATAACTTTTCTGTGTTACGTGTACCATTAATAGCAAAGACAAAAGAGAATAAAAGGCTCCTAGACCCCTAGGAGTATGTTTTGTTCATGTGTGTACCTCCCACATTTGTTGATTGCACTGATTTCACAAATTAAGGATTTTTTTTGATATAAATTTTATGCAAGTATTAGTACATTCAGTTGTGATGATACAACATAAATAACCAGAATATATATATTTTTTAATGGAGTGTGTTTTTAAACCAGGTACTTATTGACAGAGATTGAATATTGATACAGGAAATATGGTTACATTTTTCCTCTAAAATCAGCTGGCCAACTTACTGAATTAACTAACTGAACTGTCCTTGGGGAAAAAATGACATGGGGGAAAAAACACGTCGTTTATGAGTATATTGTAACACTTAACTATCTTTGAGGTTTCCTGTGGTGGTGGTGGCAGCTAAAAGGAGGAGGAAAAAAGCTAAAATAAGAATGGCAAAAGGTCTCTGTCGGCGGATGGTTGAAAATTACTTGTGGCAGATCTCCCTGTCTCTGTTCTTCCTCCTTCCAGCTCACTTCCTACACTGCCCGCATATTTGTCTCCTAGGTCACATCTTAAATCGGATCATTCCCCAGTTGAAATTCCCGTCAAACGTATCCCACCCTCAGAAGATCGCTCTCTCGTCCCTCATGTGATTTGGGAACTACTGCTCACTGAAGAAGCACACAAGTCTTCTATCCTCTTTAGCCTCATACTTGCAGAGAAGTTCTGTGGACTTTGATCTTAGACAAATGTGGGTTTGAGTCTTGTCCTCCAGTTTCATAAATGTGTGGCCTCTCTGCAGCCTAATTTCTCTCATTTCAGAGACAGGACTAATAACCTCCCGCCCTGGATTGTAAGGATTAAATATGGCAACATCTGAAAAGCACTTAACTAGTGCTGAGCACATAGATGTTCAATAATTTAGTTCTTTTCCCTATTCTAAGTTAGAAGAAAACATACACTTGTAGGTTATTAAGAGCTTATAAATAGCATCCCAAACTCCAATTCCTTTTTCTCTTTATTTTCCAATACTCTGAAAATACAACCTCAGGATTTCTTATTAAGATAAACCTTATTCTTTGTCGTGAAGTGTGACTATAAATAAAATATACTTTGTACAGCTTTGCATTGATACCAGATGTAACTCAGATGTTTGCTGACTCCAATTTAAAACAACAACAACAAAAACCTCTGTTGATTAATTTCCTTTGGAAATATTAGGTTATAAAGAAGGAATTACCTTTAAGCATTCAGTAAACGTAAGATATATTTAAGGTTTTGTTTCTTTGTGGAACAAATCCTACATGTCCTAAAGTAGTAGATAGTGTATTGGAGTTAAAAATGTCAGATCCTTCTGATTGGTAGGTTGTCTGGGTCTTTCTTAGTTTTAACTTTAAAATTTAACTTCTATTTTGAGTAATAAGACATTTATATTGTTGAAAATTCTAAAAACACAGAAGGGACCAAAAGTCCCTCACTGCCTCCCTTCGTGTTGTGTCCCCGAAAAACGGTGGCAGTGCTTGCTATTTGTCATCTGTTTTCTTTGCATTGTGTTTGTTTTTAAAACCTCAAGCTTTAAGTTTCTCTGCTAGAAGGATGTGTGCTTTACTTCATCTGCATTATTAAGAACTTTTTCCCACTGCATCGCCTGTGTTCCTTCCACCCCATTCGTCTGTTGCTGATTGTGGCACCAAGAAGTTTGGGGGCAGTGAGATGGTTGACCTCTCAGTAATTCTTATGACAGATTTCAGTGACTTCAGAGTCTCCAGCTTCCTATAATAGCCCACTGTGTTTCTGTCATCTCCTGTATCTAAATGGTTCTTAAGTCTACCCGACTTCTCTTTGTTCATAAATACTAATAACCAGGATTTTTATTGTTAGAATAGTGTTTAATACTGTAAGGTTTTGCTTTTCGTCTTCTTAATAATATGCACAACCTTTTACTCTTTGAGACGTGATAATAAACAAAAAGGTTTATGCTTCTATTTAAAAGGAGAGTTTTGGGGGGGGCGCCTGGGTGGCTCAGTCAGTTAAGTGTCCGGCTCTTGACTTCAGCTCAGGTCACGATCTTGTGGTTCATGAGTTCGAGCCCCACGCCAGGCTCTGTGCTGACAGCACAGAGCCTGCTTGAGATTCACCCTCTCCCTCTCTGTCTGCCCCTTCCCTGCTCATGTGCTCTGTTTCTCTTTCTCTCAAAATAAATAAACTTAGAAAAAGAAAAGGACGGTGCATGAAACATCCTTTGGAATAATTGTTTCATGCTCCCCTTCCACACTCTGACTCCATAGGGTCACATAATAATGATTTCTGATGATAAAAATTCCAAAGACTCTGCACCTTCCAGGTGATCAAAAAGAAAATTCTGTTTAGTATAGATTTAGATTTATGTATTTAGTTCTTTGAAAACTGCAAATTATTATATTGGCAGTTTGGTGATGAGAATATTTACTGGCTAATATAACCGAGAGTAAATCATTCTGTAAACTGTGATTTTGAGAAATAGCTGCTTTTTTTTTTTTAAACCTAGTCTGAAACTTAGCTCTTTGAAGTTTCAACAACTCCACTGTAGTTTCACTGTCTGAGTTGTAGTGAGCAGATAGATCTTAGCTCACCCTCCCCCCAAGGGCTCCTTGTCAGCCCATCATTTCTGGCTTGAGATTGTCATTGAATCTTTGATTCTCTTCACTGAATTGTTCATTTTGTTCATTACGCTGGTTGAAATACTTACATGCACAGTTTGCATGTATGCCACAGTTTGAGAGGTTTCATTTTTAGTAGTCCAGTTAATGCCAGGCTTTTTGGCCACCGTGGCACATTAGATTGTCCTCAGGTGCCGTTGACGTTCACTTGCGTCCCTTTCCTTAGTCATGTTGTGACTGGAAATTCAGAACCTATTACCGTGTGTAAGTGTACTCCAGATGACTTTTCTGTAAAATTATTTCTTGTCCAAGTCGCTCCTCTGCCACTTTTCTTACAGCCTCATGAGATCTTGTGCAGTTTTCCCTTGGCAGTTTGGCATTTTATTACCCAAAGGGATTCCACATCATCTGCATTCTTAATGACTTTATTCTTTAATATTGATTTACCATTTGAGTGGTGGGTCATCTTTAACAGTACTAACCTTATAATTTAATGCCTTTAAAAGACACAGATTAGTCAAGTAATTTGCATATTACACAAACCATATCTTTTTTCTAACACCTATTTTGTCCAAGTGATTACCTTTTATTGATTCTGCCAGGTTGCCGAAGAAGTGGTTCACTCATCTATAGTCCTGAAATCTCTCCAGAATTCCTTCTATGGGGATTTCTGTCCTAAACGTGTGTTGGGTGCTTGCTGCGAGGCAGAATCTCTGCTGGCTCAGCTGGGTTTACAGGAATGAATGGAACAGTGACCTAAGTTTGGGCCAGTGCGGGAGTGTCCAGTACTAGGTGTACCAGTAATCTTTTCTCTGGGCCCCAAACAGAAACAGCTGACTGGTCGGGGCAGATCTGCACCACAGCCCCCGCCCCACCCCATGTTGGCTTCTGGGCGGAACTCGGGGGACTAATCAGTCTACTAGATGGGGAGCATCTTCCTCTGTTTCAAATACTCAGGCATAGTGATTCGACCAAATAAACATTCCGGCAGTCAGTTCTATTCCTGAGTTCTGATAAAGAATGTATTTTCCAACAAGCTCTGAGGAGTTAAAATGTCTAGACTCAGAAAATGGCTCAGTGTGCTCCTACTGAGCAGACCCTATGGTGAACTTTAACTCTGATTTTTTTAAAGTCAGTAAGATTGACTTGTCCCTGTGCCTTTGTCTTAAGAATATACTTGTTATTCAATTATTTTCAATTAAAATTGTGTTGTAATAATGAATTTTTACCTCAAGGCCCAGCTTTTTAGGTGATTATAGAAAAACTAAAAGAAAAAACTTTTTACAGCTATAACTAATTCTTTTTTTTTTTTTCTTGTTTTTAATGTTTATTTTTGAGAGAGACACAGAGACAGAGCATGAGTCGGGGAGGGGCAGAGAGAGGGAGACACAGAATCCCAAGCAGGCTCTAGGCTCTGAGCTGTCAGCACAGAGCCCGACACGGGGCTCGAACTCAACGAGCTGTGAGTTCATGACCTGAGCCGAAGCTGGACGCTTAACCGACGGAGCCACCCAGGCACCCCGGCTATAGCTGATTCTAATGGTTCAATTCAGAAATTAATATACTTAACATGATTTTTTAAGAATAGAATTGTTATTTTTAGATGTGAATTTGGACATTGGATCTGGACATGACACATGTGGAGAAACCTCTTCAGAGAGTTACAGTTCTCCCTCTAGCCCACGACATGATGGAAGAGAAAGCTTTGAAAGCGAAGAAGAAAAAGACAGAGGTTTGCTCTTTGGAAGGGATATGGGGATGGTGGAGGGAAATGTGTGTTGTCTCTTAAAATCTGTCAAACATAAGTAATTTTATGCTCCTATAACTGTCATTATTAATTTTAAATTTAATTGGTATAAAGGGTGCCTTAATGACCACTGACTTGGAAGTTCCTGGCAGTGTTGATTTTTTTTTTTAAGCTTATTTCACTGCATATGAAATTAAGTAGAAAGAAAAGAGTCATAATAAAGTAGTTTACTAGTATAGAAAGATTGAAAATGTGTATGTTGCTAGAGGTACATATTTATAAGTTTCCTATCTTCTGATGGATTGATTCTTTTGTCATTATAAAATACACTTTTTTTTGTCTCTAGTAACTGTTTTTGGCCGAAAGTCTATTTTATCTGACAACAATAGAGCCACTCCAGCTCTCTTTGGGGTATTGTTTGTAGGGCACTACTTTCTCCATCCTTTCACATGTGTTTTAAAATTTTTTATGTTTGTTTGTTTGCTTATTTATTGAGAGGGAGAGAGAAATCCCAAGCAGGCTCCCCGCTATTGGCTCAGAGCCCGACGTGGGGCTCCAACTCACGAACTGTGAGATCCTGAGCTGAAACCCAAGAAGCAGACGCTTAACCAACTGAGCCACCCAGGCGCCCCTTTCTGTCCTTTCACGTTAAGGCTGTTTGTGTCTTTGAATCTAAAGTGTGTCTCTCTTAGGATACAACAGCATAGAGTTGGATTATGGCTTTGTAGCCATGCTGCCCATCTCTGCCATTTGATTGGAGTGTTTAATCCCTTTAATTTTACTGTAATTACTGATAACGTAGGATTCACATCTGCCATTTTGCTATTTGTTTTCTGTATGTCTTAGGTCTTCACTTCTTCCTCAAATAGAAGATCAGAGTCGGCCAAAAGTGAGAGTGTAGTGCTTTCTCAGTGCTTTCCTGGGTTTACATACAGCCCTCGACATTAATGGCTGTATGTAAACAGCCCTGACATTAAGCCATTAAACATGGCCTTCTAGATTTTCAAGAATATGTGCAAGCTTTTCAAAGCTCCCTGCGGACATCTCATTCTTCAGTTTTTCCTTTTAAGGTTTTTGGTCAGTCTCTTGTTAGTCCCAACTGGTAGTGCTGCCTCAGGCAGCCAGGTTGTTAAACATTTGCTGCTGATTGATTGTGACAAAAGCCCTGTGGGTAAGCAGCTGTTAACACAGAGTGACCTGTAACTGCTAGATAGACAATGACAGTTTTTTGGGGATGGGGCTTTAAATAGCTCCACCCATGTTTCTTCTGGTGGCTGCTAGGCTGCTAGTTTTTATAGCTACTGTAGTTGCAAAGCTATTCCTTTATAAGGCTACTTCTGAGCTAGAGAAAGCACGCTGGAATTAGGGGAAGTTAAAATGCCACAGTGCTCACTTTTCTTAAGAGATTTCTTAAGAGTTTTTCTTGAATAAACACTCCTCAGATTGCTGTAAGCCTTAAGTTAATTTCCAGAGTTCTAAAAAAGTTGATTTTGACAGTTTTTGCTAGAATTCTTGTTCCTTTTATGCAGGAGAGGAGTGTCAGAGATCCTTACCTTACTATTCTGGAAATGACATTTCAAAAATGTGTATGTTGAATGGGGATGTCATTCTTCACACATGGTAAAGACATCTGATTGGTAACATCTTGGTTATGAACATCTGCTTAGTAACATCTTGGTTCTAAGGTGTACCCATGGTAGTAGGAGGTATTGAATGATTTCTCTTGGACCACCTGAAGATCTGTAGAGATCCTTCTACCGTAGCTTTCTGAGACCTGAGCTTCTGTGTCCGAGCGTCCGGTCAGGTCTTCGGGAGCTATGGCCCTAAGTGCTCCTGCATCACATACAAATAAAACCGATCTTTACTGTGCAGCTGTTGTGAAGTCCTATCAGACATAGTGTGCGGTGACTCTACAGACCTCAGTTCTGCTAATCTGAGGCAACAGTGTACTTCTGGTCTGCAGTTTTCTTGTGAAAGAAAAAAAAAAAAAAAAGAAATAACCACCTAGAGCTATTACGAAGGTTAAATGAGAGAATTTTTATGCCTTCTCCAGAATAGACCAGCGTTCAGTGTGTTTCATTTCACATGCCATGCCCAATGGATGAGATCTAATTGTGCAATCCCGGGGTTCTTACCAATAGTGCAATCTAATTCTCTGCAGAGAACTGTGAGGAGTGCATCTGTACCTTGGGTTACTTTGCAGCCTTTCGTGTCGTCAGATTTGGCAAGTTGGTGGCTTAGATGGCGGAACTTGCCCTTTTTAGGATAGGCTCAGTTATCAAGTGGCTAAATGAGCCTTCCCTAAATGAAGAATCATTTGGAATATCTAAATCCAGCAGGGGGGGGGAGATGTCCACTGTGATAAAAAACTGTAATCATTTTTAGAATTTTGAGTACACAAAAAGGTTGCTTTAAAAAGCATGTGACTTTGTTGTTCTGTTGGTCATTATGGGGTTTTGTTTCAAGACTTTTATACTTTTCAAAGCCAGTGCAAAAAAGGGAGAGACCATCCCTGATTTGCTACATGAGTCCTTACAGTGCTCAGAAAACCGCTTGGTATCATTTAAACTCATGGGGCCAGTTACTATGACTTAAGATTTAAAGTAAGCCCAGTTCAAATGGAAATTTAGTTGACCACCTGAAAAATACTGTATCTTCTTTGGACTTAAATGTTTACCTTTTGGGCACCTGGGTGGCTCAATCAGTTGAGCATCCAGCTTCAGCTCAGGTCATGATCTCACAGCTTGCCACTTGAGACCCACGTCGGGCTCTGTGCTGACAGCTAAGAGCCTGGAGCCTGCTTCAGATTCTGTGTCTCCCTCACTCTGCCCCTCCCCTGCTAGCACGTGCACATGTGTGTGCACTCTCTTTCTCTCTCTGTCTCTCTCTCTCTCTCTCTCTCTCGCAAAAACAGATAAACTTAAAAAAATGTTTATTTATTTTTTTAAATTTACGTCCCAAATTAGTTAGCATATAGTGCAATAATGACTTCAGGAGTAGAATCCACTGATTGATCCCCTACATATAACATCCAGTGCTCATCCCAACAAGTGTCCTCCTTATTGCCCCTTGCCCTTTTAGCCCATCCCTCCGCAACCCCTCCAGGGCCCTCAGTTCTCTACATTTAAGAGTCTCTAATGTTTTGTCTCCTCCCTGTTTTTATATTTTTGCTTCTCTTCCCTTATGTTCATCTGTTTTGTATCTTAAATTCCACATAGGAATGAAGTCTTACAATATTTGTCTTTCTCTGGCTAATTTCACTCAGCATAATACACTCTAGTTCCATCCATATTGTTGCAAATAGCAAGATTCCATTCTTTTGATTGCTGAGTAATACTCCATTGTGTGTGTGTGTGTGTATGTGTATACATATGTACATATATACACACACCACATCTTAATCCATTCATCTGTCAATGGACATCTGGGCTCTTTCCATACTTGGCTGTTGTTGATAGCGCTGCTATAAACGTTGGGGTGCATGTGCCCCTTCAAAACAGCACACCTGCATCCTTTGGATAAATACCTAGTAGTGTGGTTACTGGGTCGTAGGGTAGTTCTATTTTTAACTTGTTGAGGAACCTCCATACTGTTTTCCAGAGCAGCTGCACCAGTTTGCATTACCACCAACAGTGCCAAAGAGACCCTTTTCTTCCACATCCTCGCCAACATCTGTTGTTGCCTGAGTTCATTTTAGCCATTCTGACAGGTGTGAGGTGGTACCTCCTTGTGGTTTTGATTTGTATTTCCCTGATGGTGAGTGATGTTGAACATTTTTTCATGTGTCTGTTTGCCATCTGGATGTCTTCTTTGGAAAAGTGTCTCTTCATGTCTTTTGCCCATTTCTTCACTGGATTATTTGTTTCTTGGGTGTTCAGTTTGATAAGTTCCTCATAGATTTTGGATACTAACCCTTTATCTGAGATGTCATTTGTAAATGTCTTCTCCCATTCCATCGGTTGCCTTTTAGTTTTGCTGATTGTTTCCTTCACCATGCAGAAGCTTTTTATCTTGATGAGGTCCCAATAGTTCATTTTTGCTTTTGCTTCCCTTGCCTCTGGAGATATGTTGAGTAAGAATTTGCTACAGCAGAGGTCAGAGAGGTTTTTTTGCCTGCTTTCTCCTCTAGGATTTTGATGGCTTCCTATCTTGCATTTAGGTCTTTATCCATTTTGAGTTTATTTTTGTGTATGGTGTAAGAAAATGGTCCAGGTTCATTCTTCTGTATGTCTCCATCCCATTTTCCCATCACCATTTGCTGAAGAGACTGTCTTTATTCCATTGGATATTCTTTCCTGCTTTGTCAAAGATTAGTTGGCCATGTGTTCATGGGTCCATGAAATGTTTATCTTTTACTGTGTATTCCTCTGATGGTACAGCTACAGATAAAATGCCTTGGATAAGTTACTAATTTTTGGATACTTTTTTGAAAAAAGTTTAGCAAGAAGCACCTCGGTTATTAAGGGAAGTTTATACTAGAACCACTTACTGATAAATTGAATTTCTTCTTTCTAGTAATTGAGCTAATAACACTGTTGACATTCTGTGTCAGTAGGCAGGTTCTGTTTAACCTTTCTTGAGAAAGACTGCTGTTAATGATTTGTTTTTGGTATTATTTCAAAAATTTTTAACAGCTGACTATAGCTACTGTTACCTTAATAAATGTAAACATTTTAAGTACATTGCCCAGTTCTGCCTGTATTTATGAGCAAAAAGACATTGAAATAGGCACAATATTTAATTGCATGGTTTCCATACATATTATTGCAGTATCTGGGTTTATGATGTTTACATGCTGTGAACTGGACTTTCTCTTTTGCCCTTTTTATACCAAAAGTCAGGAAATCCAGGGGAAGTTTAGATTGCAGTTATTTCTGTATACAAGCCTAAGAGTGATTGCAGTAATAACACCGTATGAAGTATAATTTTGTATTTGCCACTTCACTGGTTCTTCCGTTGGAGAAATGGCAGCACTCTTACATTTGTCTTGCTTCTTGTGTTCTAACACCATTTGTTTTATGACTATAGTCGTGGCTTTATTTCCCCGCTGAAATATTTAAGAGTAAGAGCATTTATTCCATTGTCTTCCATTCCCTTCCTCTAGATATTTGGGTTAAATGCAATCTTGTGATTGAGCTCCTTTAAATTGTGTCATGTACGGGAGACATCTGTGAAGACCTTGGGTTTGGAGTACAGAATATAAATAAATTAAGTGAATTGCCTAAAATTGATGAAGGTTAAAAAATATCCAGTCCTTTTCTCAGTAATCAGGTGATACCAAATAAATCTCAGTCTTTGTATTGTGCTTCATTCAGCATCCAGTTAACCTTTTTGTTGCTGATCTCTCCATGGATTTTTTTTTTAATTAAAAACTTAATTGTTTTAGAGCGGTTTCAGGTTTACGGTAAAATAAAGAGGGAGGTACCGAGATTTCCCATATGCTTCTGCCACATGAATAGCCTACGCCATTATCAGCACCACTCACTAAAGTGATACGTCTTTTGTCAAGGATGAACCTCCACTGACGCACTGTTCTCACCCAAAGCCCATTGTTTACCTAAGGATTCATTCTTGGTTGTTACACGTTCGGTGGCTTTGGACGAATGTATAATGACTTACATTTACCATTATGATACCCTACAGATCGTTCTCACTGCCCTAAAAATCCCCTGTGCTTCATCTCTCCCCCCAACTCCCCACCCCTGGCAACCACTGGTCTTTTTATTATCTCCGTGGTTTCGCCTTGTCCCGATTCTCTTTTAAACGAAGTCCACAGACAGCCAAAAATTCTTGGCTGTCAGGTAACCGACGGACACATTTCCTCCACTTCTAAACTTCCAGAGTTCATTTTAGATACATAGTTCAAGTTTATTTCTAGCAAGAGATCGGAGTTCCGCTTTGACAGCTGTTTGTGTTTGTTTTCCTTAGACACAGACAGCAATTCTGAGGATTCTGGGAATCCGTCAACAACCAGGTTTACAGGCTGTGGTTCTGTCAACCAGACCGTCAGTGTCAAGCCACCTGTTCAGATTGCTTCGTTAGGAAGCGACAACGGAGGCCTTCTAGGAGACCCCCTACATGCGCCCAAGTATCAGCATATTTCTTTTATGCCAACTTTACACTGTGTCATGCACAATGGTGCCCAGAAGTCTGACGTTGTCGTCCCTCCACCCAAATCCACTGACGGCAAGACAATAGGGATGCTTGTTCCCAGTCCCGTTGCAATTTCTGCAATAAGGGAGTCCACGAATTCTACCCCTGTTGGAATACTGGGGCCAACAGCTTCTACCGGAGAATCCGAAAAACACCTCGAATTACTGGCTTCCCCTTTACCTCTTCCGTCGGCGTTCCTCCCGCACAGCAGCGCCCCTGCTCTGCACCTGACAATTCAGAGGCTAAAGTTGCCGCCGCCACAGGGGTCCTCCGAGAGTTGCCCGGTTAACATCCCGCAGCAGCCACCCGCGAGTCTGAGCATCGGATCACCAAACACTGCCTTTATCCCTGTCCATAGCCCAGGTAGTTTTCCGGGATCTCCTGTGGCTACCACGGACCCCATCGCAAAATCTGCATCCCAGGTGGTAGGACTCAATCAAATGGTGCCTCAAATCGAGGGAAACACTGGGACAGTCCCTCAGCCTACCAATGTGAAGGTAGTTCTCCCAGCAGCCGGCCTTTCGGCCGCACAGCCACCAGCTTCCTACACCTTGCCGGGCTCCCCGCTTGCTGCCGGCGTGCTGCCCAGCCAGAATTCCAGCGTGCTCAGCACGGCGGCGGCGTCGGCCCAGTCCGCGGGTGCGGGCATCAGTCAGGCCCAGTCGGTTCCTCCCGCGGTTCCCACCCACACCCCAGGCCCCGCCCCCAGCCCCAGCCCCGCTTTGACACACAGCACCGCGCAGAGCGACAGCACGTCTTACATCAGCGCTGTGGGAAACACGAACGCTAACGGGACAGTATTGCCGCCGCAGCAGATGGGCTCGGGTCCTTGCGGTTCTTGTGGGCGAAGGTGCAGCTGCGGGACCAACGGCAGCCTTCAGCTGAACAGTTACTATTATCCCAACCCGATGCCCGGACCAATGTACCGAGTCCCGTCGTTCTTTACTCTGCCATCCATCTGCAACGGCAGCTACCTCAACCAAGCACATCAGAGCAATGGAAACCAACTTCCTTTTTTTCTGCCTCAGACTCCGTATGCGAACGGCCTGGTGCACGACCCGGTCATGGGGAGCCAAGCCAACTACGGCATGCAACAAATGGCGGGGTTTGGGAGATTCTACCCTGTGTATCCAGCACCTAACGTAGTTGCCAACACGAGCGGTTCGGGGCCCAAGAAGAACGGGAACGTTTCATGTTACAACTGCGGTGTAAGCGGGCACTACGCACAGGAGTGCAAGCAGTCGTCCATGGAGGCCAGTCAACAAGGTAATCATGAGAGCTCCCAGAGGACTTGTTTTTGAGTGTGCCCGCTTCTCCCCACCTCACTGAGCGCGGGGAGCCTGTTGTGGCAGAAGGAGCTGGTGTGTGCTCACTTACGGAAGGTGTGCTTTCAGTGACAGATCGTTCAGAGGCAAATGGGAAAACATAGCGTAGACCCGGGCCACCCAGCGCGAGGGAGTTGAGGAATTCAGTTTCCAGTGAGAGCCTAAGAACCGTTGAGGCACTTTTGAAGGAATATAATGGGAATTTGTGTCACGTGATAGCAGATCTCTTGTTTGCAGCACTTTTTTTTTTTTTAAGCTACAGTCCTGTTTTGTAGAGTAAGCGAAATTTTTAAATAGGAAGAAGTGGGAAGTAATTCTAGTCACCCGACAGGTATGATTGTTAGTTACAGTGTGGTACACGTATGCACAGCCGGCTGGCCCCATGCACACTCCCCCCCCCGCCCCCCACCACGCTGCCCCTTCCCTTCCCAGCAGATGCTTAAAAAAAGATGCTTAATGCATTTTAAGGAACAAAATATTTAAGCACTGGTTTGGGAGCAAGGGAGTTAGCTTGAACTCCGTTTAATGTTCTCGCCACCAGGAACAAGAAAGATGTTCTTAAATAAGTAGGAGTAAGATCACAAACTCAGCGTAGACGTCAGACTGTTCTCTCTCACTTGGATTTGGCTTTTGTCAGTTTTGCCAAGTCTCATCCAGAAAAGAAGTCTTGAAGTGCGAATGTGTATTTGGCATTTTGAAAGGAAGATTGGGTTTGCTAGCTTTAGGTTGGACTTAAAGCACAAATTCCTCTTACTTTGGAAGGTAATCCTGTGTGCCATTTGGGACCATAGTAGTGCGGAGGAAGCTGCCTTCTGGCGAGCATGCCCTTTTGTTATCTTGTAGTGGTTTGTGATGCATTGCGTTGTAAGCAGTGACTTAGCAGTTCTGTCTTTCCCGTTTTAGGCACTTACAGACTGAGATACGCACCTCCCCTCCCCCCTTCTAATGATACGTTGGATTCTGCAGACTGAAACGCGTAAAGCTTGACTGCTTAATACCCTGACGTGTTGGGGAGTCATGGTGGGGTGTGGAGGGGAGGAAAGGAAAGGTATTTTGTTTGTGTTTCTTTGTCTATACATTTCCTAGATTTCTATGCACTTGGGGTTTTTCATTTCTGTTGTACTGATGTCCAAAACAAAAAAGAATGCGTTGCTTTTGAGCCTCTGGTCTCCTGGTTCAACAACAGGCTTATCTGTATGATACATGTAATTTAAACCTCCAAACTATCAAAAGGAAAATGTTTGCTGTGCTTTTTTTTTTTTTACACTGAATACTTGCTGTGTGCAATGTTTACTGAATCTTTAAAACTGTGTATTTGACCTTTTTTCTTTTTTTTTTTTTTTTT